ATATGTCCTCCAGCATAAGAGCTTCATTGAGATAATTGTCTCCCACTAAAGAAGTTGAAGAAGAATCCACATCAACCACCACCGATTCACATAAGGCAATCGAGCACGCAGTGGAGACCCCTTTAGGGATACCACAAGCCTGGAGCCTTGCGGAAGAACGAACCCCTCTTAGAACTGCCTTATTTTTCTTGCCGGCCGCAGTTTTTTTGGCATGAGTTTTTTAAGCAGACTCTAACACATAACTTTTGCCAGAGTTTCTTCCATGCACCAAATCTTTTTCCACTGCCTTCTTGGCCCTTCGGTGTTCCTTAATTTTCACAAGCATCACGCTTAGTGGAACATTGCCCAACCCCATATCTTCCACCATCCTTTCCATCAACGGAGACTCATCCTGAACCACAGCTATAGGCAATGACTCTTTAACCAAGTGAAAGCATAAACGTTCAGTTGGAGGCTCCTCTTGTACCACCACTGGTGTCTCAACAACCACCACGTCCAAACTGTGGCCAAATTCCCCAGCATAAGCATCTTCCAACATAAGAGGCGAAGGGTTTGCAGGATCCTCGTCAGCTGCAACAAACATGATCGACAAATGATTGATCAGCAACAGATCAAACCTTATCCTTAAGGATTGATCAGCAATTGATCAAAATTATCCTTGATTTCGTTGCCCCACCTTTAACGACAACCAAGCGATAAGGGAGTGGATACATCTGAAGCTTCCAAAGCAAAGCCAACAAAATAGCCAAAAGTCTCTGATGAAAGCACCACACTGAGCGGAGCTTCTTGGCCTGAAGGCGCAATAGCAAGATCGTAATGAAAGCACAAGAGAGGATTTGCTTCTTCACTTGAGCCCTCTTCCAAAACTCCAGAAAGGACAAACCGTGAGGGAGAGTCCCAAAAGGGAATTTCGTCGCCACGATGCAGGTAGTATCAATCCCAAATGTATAAGAATTGAGGGGAGCTCTTTGGGGAACCATAACCGCCACACCATATTAATATTATAAGGTACTTTTTGGAATTGCGTCGGTGGACCTGCAGGATCAACGAGCGACCTGCAGGACATTGGATCACCGTGGTTCAAAACTTGCCGAACATCATGCGTAACCTCCGGCCCTTTCATCAATCCATGCTCAACTCTCGTCGAAGAAATAGAAGGTTGTAATCTAAAGGATTTCGAAAAACCCGCCATCCATTCAGGGAATCTATCGATGGGAATCCAATGTTGATGAATCCTGACAGTTTCCTTTTTCTGAAATTTTAAAAATCTTGCTCCTCTCCTAAAATTCCTATTTTTCAGTTTCAGGTTTGATTTTCCCGGAGGAGGAATTCCGGTCGTCGCTTAGAGATTTTTTGGGCCAGAAATTTGCCCTTTCTTCTCTACAGAGGGACTTGCAGCAAACCATCTTGAAGGAACGCAACCATCATCATCAGTAACGGGAATTTCAAAAAAGGAGTGATGCATATACGAACTATCCTGGGTAAAGGCAATCAATGGTATTTTCCAACTTTAACACAAACAAAACAACAAATAGAACTTAAAAACGAATCCCAATCCAAATCCAAATAAGTACCAAAGCTACCTATCGCTTTCTTAATGATTGCCAAATTCCATGCTGATAGGGGAAGACCCCACAACTTCACCCATACCGTCTCCGAAGGAATAAAAGAAGCATGATCAGATGGTTTCCAGAGATCCAAGGACAGTAGACTACTCATAATACAACAAAATCTGCGAGTAAGTACTTTCTCGACCTCCTCTTTTGACCGAAGCTTGAAGACAACTTTGTTAAGGCCAATAGTTTTCACATTAGGACGTTGAGAGAGATTCTAACTCCTCTGTGCCCAATCAGAAATGCCATAAAAATTAGAGATCGGAGGAGAGAAAGAGAAAATTCATTGCACTTATTGTAGAATAATTGTTTCATTGCACTTTTATAGGGCCACCACTTTGTGAAATTTGGCAAAGCCCCACTATAAAATCCTGATTGCCTGTAAATCCATTTTCACCCCTTTCTTTAGATTTTGGAGTTCCAAAATGGTGCAAATCTAATTGACTAGTGAATATTTCGAATGAATTGTTGGGAAAAAAACGTAATGTATTGTATGACAAACCATTTTCTGATGTTGAAACTTATTATTTTAGATCCATAATTCTTGAGGTAGAGATGATCAATGGGACATTTTTGGGGCGTGGAAATGCTTCATGATCCCCAGGTACACTTACAAGTTTGATGACTTAAGTTACTCCAACTTGCATGGTTATTTCGATGTTTCTTTAATTTTCAAACTTTATTTTCTCAATAATTGATGAATTTCTATACCCCATTTCCTAAGTAGCGGTGTATTAAAACTTGGTGGCTTCTGATCCAGATCGTCAATTCAGATAGGAATCAGTTAGGATTGAACTGTTTATGGGATGATATCGGTCGTGACTTGGTTCTCCTATAAAATCCCCTTTATATATACATAAGAAAATGCTGGGATTAGCCCACTAGATCATATGAACATATGCGTTCATATGAGCCCAACGACCCTGATCTGATGGTTATGACCTCATTTCATATTTAAATTTTAATGTTTTTTCTACAAATCCAAATGATTTGAAATTGTAGGCTTGTATTCTTAAAAAATAGAAGAATATAATAAAAATATCAAAATACCAAAAAATAATTTGTAAAAAATAAATTAACCAAAATACCCCTGAAATGTTTAGGGGGTATTTTGGTGAATTTGTTTCTTGCAAATTATTATTTTTTATATTTTTGTTAGGTACGCATTGATAAGAAGAATGGATGTCTAAAACTTCAAGTTATTTAGATATGTAGAAAAGAATTAAAATTCAAATATGAAATTTGGTTGTGAACGTTAGATCGGCCCAAATTCAATCTGGGCCGTTGGGCTCATATGTTCATTTGAGCTAGTTTGCTGGGATTAGCCCACTAGCTTATATGAACATATCAACATTTTTTCATATATATATATATA